AGGGCGAGAATTGTAGGGGCAAAAAGAAAAGGCAACCTTCTTGCAACTCCATAGACATAACTGTAATTCAAAGAAAACACAAAATCAGGTATTTCAGCAAGAGCAACAAATAACCTCAACTCTATATGAAGCTTTTATGGAAATGTGGATGGGCCAATTTGTGCTGCCTCTGAACATCTTCAAATGAGAACTCACTTGGAGAGATAATTGTTTGAATTCCTCATATATTTAGCCACACCAAGTCTGTAAGAGTTCAGTTTTAAAACATTTTTGCCAAAAATTCAACATTCAGTGGCATGAGGGGGGAAAGCTGACAAGCTTCATTGCCACCCTTCTCTATCTCTTTTTTTTTTCTTTTTTTCTGTCCTTTCCAGTGACGAAGTGGAAAAAAGGGGAAGGGAAAGAACAGAGAAAATGGGAAGGTAGAAAAGGAAGAATGAAACACTAGAAAAGTGGACATGGAGTGAGTTCTTATACAATTTTGTTCTCTTTTTCTGTCAAAAAATCAGAAATTCCCAAAATATTTCAAGAAAAAAAATTGAAGGTGAACATGTATTATTTTATGGGGGGAAATCTTTAAATGGGAGCAATTAAATCATCCTACTGTTTAGTTGAAATTGCTTCACAAGTTCAAATTTTGAAGAATTCTGGCTAGCCCATTATTCTAACATCCACACAAATGCCCTGTGAAAATATATGCACCATGGATGTGTGGCTGTTCCTACACTTACAGTGACAGCTTTTTGACCCGGTGGTTCTAAGTGTCAACATGTCCCATGCACCCTAGTGAATGTGATCCACAATCTGTATAATAATAATGAGTTTCCTTACTGTCCCAGGAATGACTGTCTGTCCTCTTTGAGCTCCTTGCAAACAGCATCAGGCTCAGGTCTCTGATACGGTGTAAGGAAGGGGGGATAGGTCGTTTTGAATGATAGGAAGCACTCATTTCTTTCAGGGTCAGCATTAGCACAACAGTCAGCCATTGCCCTATAAGAATCACGAAGCTTCTTGATTTGGCAAATCTCATCCAAGAAAATGGCTTGCTACAGTGAGAAGGGTAAAATACAAACATTGCCACGAGTCAGCATTAAGGGTGCTTATAGACAGCATAGTGTAAATGTCTGCATATTTAGTTTTCTGTACAAGAAGACAGAGCTACAATACATGCTACAATTTATGGGCCATTCTGAGCCAGATTCCTAGGTAGATTCTTAGGTAAATTTTGGCTTATTTAGATGTCTGTTAAAGAAAAACTGGATGTTTACTAGGCCTGTGCGAAGTTCCTAACCTGTTCTTTCACCACTGTTGGATGCTTGCCTGCTCCCAAAACCGTGCTGCCAGGTGCAGTAGTCTGGAAGCTGACCTTGCCTGTGAAGACTGAGGTGAAAAAGTCATTGAGTACTTCATCCTTTCTTACTAAGGGCACTTGTACATGTGACGCCATTGCCATGTACACATGAGGAAAATTTCACTTTGCGTGGCTTAATGGTGTCACGCTGTACACATGCAGGAGCTTGGGGGTTTAAAATGAGTTTGCATTGTTACAAACTAAAGTACATCCTGAAGTAGTTTAGTTTGCACCGATGCATTTCCAGCTATTAGATCATCCCCTAACCATGGGAAAGGTGGGCAGGATCCTCAGAAAAAAAGAATCAGGCCCCTCATCACTTCTGCCTTCAGAGCAAAGGCAGAAGTGGTGAGGGACTGGATTCTTTTTTTCTTTTCAGTGGAGCCTGCCTGCCTCTCCCATGGCCACGGACTGAGCTGCTGGTGAACCCCGGTCCTTCCCTCCATGGCGGTAGTGCCCCCCAGGGCCACCTGGGCAGGCTGCTATCAGACCAAGTGCTGCCATACCTCAGGGTCTGGATAGAGTTGGATTAGGCCAGGTGCTGCCTCCAAGCTGGGGCAGCACCCAGCCCACTAGCAGCCTACATGGGTGGCCCCAGGAGATACTGCCACTGCAGAGGGAAGGACTGGGGCCTCCCACAGCTCAGGGGATGCTCAGTTTGCACCGATGCATTTCCCTCCAGCTTGCCCTCCAGCTGCAGGAGAGGCAGGCAGGCTCGACCCAAAAAAAAAAAAAAAAGAGGGATTGGGCTCTTTGCCGTAACAGTGATGGAAACCCCTAAATTGAAATGGTAGGTTTAAATTAAAACCCACCATTTCAATTTAGGGATCATATAATGCAACCCTAAGAATTAAACCCTCATCATGTGGAAAAGTGCCCTAGGTTGCCTCCCTCATTCAGCAAGGGAATCACACTTTCCCTGATCATCCTCCTGTTGCTGAGAGAAGCATTTTGTCTGCACTGAACTTCATCCTCTTGCCTCCAGCCCAGTTTTCCAATCTATCAAGATCTTTCTGAATTCTATTCCTATCGCAGTCATGGTCACAAGGCCAGGGATGGGAGATTCTTCTCTCCCAGCTCAAGCTCCATAGTCGTGGGGGATTCCTATCTCCAAACCCTGGCCCCACAGTCATGGAGCTAGGGTTGGGAGGTAAGAATTTCCCAGCCGGGGCCCCACAACTGTGGGGCCAGGGCTGGGAGATAAGAATCTCCTAGCCCTTGCTCCCCAGTCATGATCACAAACATTGCCCCCATCCTGGCATCAAGCAGTGGGGCTGTGCAAAACAGCACCATTTCATTTTGACTTCCATATCACTGTTCCAGTGGGACAGTGTTTCATGCTGAGATTTGTTTAGTTTCAAAACCACCGTTCCATTTTGTTTCATTGAAACTGTTTTACTGTTTTGACGCTGTTTCAACGTTTTGAAACAGCCTTCCCCATAGGCTGTAATGGGGAAGCATAAAACTGCCTATAACTTTGTTATTTCTTGTCTTATTCACGTGAAACTTGTAGAAATAGTAGCCCCTTCTGAGGTCATGAAGTCTGCCAAGTTTCAAGGAAATAGGTTCAGGGGTTTCTGGGAAACTGTACCTCAAATTCTTGAAAGCAAAACTTGTATCATGTGCATGCGTTAAGGCACAGTGCGATGAAAACTGCAGGCATGGTAGCCCCTGCTGAGACCATGAAGCCTGCCAGCTTTCAAGGAGATAAGGGCAGGGGTTTCTGGGAAACTGCACCTCAGGCTGCTGACAAACAAAACTCGTGACATGTGTGTGTTAAGGCACAGCAGGGTGAAAACTGCAGGCATGGTAGCCCCTGCTGAGGCCATGAATCCTGGCAAGTTTCAAGGAGATAGGTTCAGGGGTTTCTGGGAAACTGCACCTTGAACTGTTCAGAGCAAAACTTGCATCACCTGTAAGTGTGAAGGCACAGAGTAAGCTTGTTTCAAACCATGCTTTTTATGCTGTTTTTCCATCCCTCCCTCAGAGCACTGGGATTGGAAGGGACCTCAGGGAAAGATCAGAGTCACTGGCTAACTGCACATGTCAGTATCAAAGCAGTCCTTCCCCCCTCTTCCCCCTCCCTCTCTTTAGTTTCTCTTTAGCTGCAAGCAAGCCCAGCTCTGAAACTTGAAATGTTTGGAAACTTTTGAAATGTTTTGACTGCCCTTGTTCCATTTTGGCTGACAAACAAAAGGCTGTTTTGAAGCCTTTTGTTATGTTTCAATTTTGCTGTTTTGAGCTCAAAACTAGTCAAAACAGCATTGAAATGAAACAGCCAGCAAAATTTCACAAAGCCCCAGCAAGCAGATCCCTAGGGCAGGGAGCAATCTCCCGTCCCCTGCTGCCTGGCTCACTGGGAGCACATTTGCTTCCAGTCAGCTGTCTACATGTGCTGTACTATGCAGTAAGTAATTCAGAGTAAAGTTGCTACTTGTATTTACAGGTAGCAGATTTACTCCTAATTAGAGCAAATTACTGCGCAGTAAGCATCTGCATGTATAGATGGTGATAGTTACTGCACAGTAATTAGCTCTAATCTCAAGTAAAGCTTCTCATGTAGACACGTCCCTTGTTTATACAATTTTTATTACCTGTCTGGTTGCAGCTTATTTTTTCATTTTTGAAGACTAAGCCAAAGTAACTTTTGAGCAGTTCTGCCTTTCTTTGTGTCTTCTGTTAATAACTCACCTTATCTATTTAGCAGTAGACCTTCAAACTTCCTTAGTTTTTCTTATCTGGCCAATATATTTGTAAAATGCATATATAAGCTGATCTTCACCAGTTTATTTGTTGATTCATAGAAGCACTTCTGGAAGTACTGAGTAAATGTGATTCTTCTTATTCTTTTAATTTCTTTTGCCAAATGTAGCTCATTTGTTATCCCTGCTTCCCTGATTACACCCCCAGGAATTATGCACAGAAAATTCAAAATTATGCACAGGAAAACTCAAAATTATGCA